CATGCAGGAGTGAGCAAGGACATGCAGGAGTGTGCCAGAGTGTGCAAGGACATGCAGGAGTGAGCAAGACATGCAGGAGTGAGCAAGGACATGCAGGAGTGTGCCAGAGTGTGCAAGGACATGCAGGAGTGAGCAAGACATGCAGGAGTGAGCAAGGACATGCAGGAGTGTGTCAGAGTGTGCAAGGACGTGAAGGAATGTGCAAGAGGATGCATGTGCAAGCAAGGACATGTAGGAGTGTGCCAGAGCGTGCAGGAGTGAGCAAGGACACGTAGGAGTGTGCAAGGATGTGAAGGAATGTGCAAGAGGATGCACGTGCAAGCAAGGACATGTAAAAGTGTGCCAGAGCGTGCAAGGATGTGTAGGAACATGCAAAAGGATGCACGTGTGTGCAAGGACACGCAGGAGCGCACAAGAGCATGCAGAAGTGAGCAAGGACATGTAGGAGTGTGCCAGAGCGTGCAAGGATGCATGGGAGAGCGTGCAAAAGCACACACATGTGTGAGCAAGGACGTGCAGGAGCATGCGAGAGCATGCAGGAGTGAGCAAGGACATGTAGGAGTGTGCAAGAGCACGCAGGAGTGAGCAAGGACATGTAGGAGTGTGCCAGAGCGTGCAAGGATGTGTAGGAATGTGCAAAAGGATGCACGTGTGAGCAAGGACACGCAGGAGCGTGCAAGAGCACACAGGAGTGAGCAAGGACATGTAGAAGGGTGCCAGAGCATGCAGGAGTGAGCAAGGACATGTAGGAGTGTGTCAGAGTGTGCAAGGACGTGAAGGAATGTGCAAGAGGATGCACGTGCCAGCAAGGACATGTAGGAGTGTGCCAGAGCGTGCAAGGATGTGTAGGAACGTGCAAAAGGATGCACGTGTGAGCAAGGACACGCAGGAGTGCACAAGAGCATGCGGGAGCATGCAAGGACATGTAGGAGTGTGCCAGAGTGTGCAAGGACGTGAAGGAGCATGTAAAAGGATGCACATGTGAGCAAGGACATGCAGGAGTGTGCAAGGACATGTAGGGGTGTGCAAAAGCATGCGCATGTGAGCATGCACATGCAGGAGCGTGCAAGAGCATGCATGTGTGAGCAAGGACATGTAGGAGCGTGTCAGAGCGTGTAAAGGCAGGAAGAAGTGTGCAAGAGGATGCACATGCGAGCAAGGACATGTAGGAGTGTCCAAAATCATGCACATGTGTGAGCAAGGACACGCGGAAGCGTGCCAGAGTGTGCAAGAGCATGCATGCATGTGCAAGGGCATGTAAGAGCATGCCAGAGTGTGCAAGGACATGCAGGAACGTGCAAAAGGACGCATGTGCAAAGGCATGTAAGAGCATGCCAGAGTGTGCAAGGACACGCAGGAACGTGCAAAAGGACACATACGTGAGCAAGGACATGGACAAGCGTGCCAGAGTGTGCAAGGACATGTAGGAGCATGCAAAAGGACGCATGTGTGAGCAAGGACATGCAGGAGTGTGCCAGAGTGTGCAAGAGGATGAATGCACGAGCAAGGACGTGGACAAGTGTGCCAGAGCGTGCAAGGACATGTAGGAGCATGCAAAAGGACGCGTGTGTGTGTGCAGGGACGTGCAGGAGCGTGCCAAAGCATGCACGTGTGAGCAAGGACATGCAGGAGTGTGCAAGAGCGTGCAGGAGCAAGCAAGGATATGTAGAAGTGTGCCAGGGTGTGCAAGGACACGAAGGAGCGTGTGAGAGGATGCAGGTGTGAGCAAGGACATGCCGGAGTGTGCAGGAGTGAGCAAGGACATGTAGAAGTGTGCCAGGGTGTGCAAGGGCACAAAGGAGCGTGTGAGAGGATGCAGGTGTGAGCAAGGACAGGCGGGAGCGTGCCAGAGCGTGCAAAGACCCGCGGGAGCGTGCAAGGGCACGCACGTGTGAGCAAAGACGTGCAGGAGCGTGCAATAGTGTGTGTGCGTGAAGAAGGACACGGAGGAGCGTGCAAAAGGAGGCACGTGTGAGCAGGGAGGGACATGTGAGTGCACACCAGAAGCGCACACAAGCGCGCTGCTCCCAGCCCCCCAGGGGAAGGGGAATTTGGGGGAAACCCCCCCCCACATCCCACCCCCCAACCCCAAGACATTGGGAACCCTGAGCCTGGCACCACGTGTGGCGAGTTGTGTCAGGTCTCTGCCATCCTGGCACCCCCCGTGCCCGCGGGAGACCTTGGTCCTGGCTGGGGCCTCCCCC